GTCAGGAGTCCATTGTCTGTATGATCATTTCCAAAGTAGTTCCGTGGACGTGGTACATTTCTAGACGTTTCTCCTTGACGAGTTGTAGTGTGGTGCTAAGAATGGCGAAAAGGATCATGCGTACAATGGAATCCGGACAAGGTGCGTTCTTCAAATTCTTCTTACCAATGTGACCCAGTTGCGAAAAAAAGGTCAAACAACTTATTTTTTGTTTTTGTTAGAAAAAGGGGGTGAAAGTGTGAATTTGTAAATTGGCCTCATCCGAGAACCAAAGACCAGTGACTATTGGATCGTGCGCAAAAACCTATGAATTCGTGCTGGGCCTCCGTCTGTATCGGCATGACAATTGTCGTCAGAACCAGTGACTCTCAGTTACGAACGATTTGCCAAAAACACTTAATTCTGCGAAGCGGAAGACTGAAATCTTAATTTTTATTCATGACGTTGCCATCTTCCTTAACTACATGCAGATGAGAGAAGTAGATGTCTGAAAAAGCATCGGATGTGTGTGATGTAAATAAACCAGTGTATGATACTGCAAGACTGACGTTTGCTTTAGATGTGTGGATACATTTACACTATGTTTATGCACAACTCGATAATAAATTTATAGTTTAGAGCACAATCCAGACTCCCGGTCTGTCAACTCTTCTCCTTTTGACCTTATTTTCACAACTTGGTCATGTTGGTAGGAAGACTTAGAGGTACGTGGTACATTCCCAGACGTTGTCCACGGTCCTACTCTGGAAATGTTGATGCATACAATAGACTCCGGACAAGGTACGTTCTTCTAAGTCTTCCTACCAACATGACCAAGTTGCGAAAAAAGGTCAAACAACTTCTATACAACGTAAGGAGACTGTGATCATACAAAAGGCCACATTATCTTGGTCTTCATATCCTCTCCTTTTGTTGAGCTTACTTCCATTTCGAGTAAAATTGTTTGGTTGAAGAGATTCGAAGGTCGGTTGCACCAGAATACGATGGCGGATTCCTCTTGACCAGCTGTCGATTGGCTTTACTGTAAGATTCATGCTGACGCTGTTTCCGAGGCAATCTCCTTCGAATCCAGTGAAAAGGTGCAAAGTTTTCGTGCGTCATATGCAGAACATCATCAGAGCGAGGTATCAACGTCACAACCAACTTCAAGCTAACGAGTCCAGCAAACTCCTTTCACTTTAACTCGAAATGGAAGTAAGCTCGAAACCCAACTTTTCTTCGCATAAAATCTTTCATTAAACTCGTAAGCATTACCTTTGGTCGGCACATCTTTTCTCTCTCGCAACCAGTTCTCCCGATTTGTCAACTCGTCTCCTTTTACTCCGCGGCCCTTTCTGTCCTTTCTCGTTCAGCTTCACTTTATAAAATGGCCACATGTAGTTTTTGCTTAATTTCCTACCCTCGTTCCTTGTTTTTACATGAATACTTATTCTCTCTCATCCCAATTAAGGAAAAAACCCTCAGTTGGCGGTTTCCCATACGCTTCACTACCATTCTTCACTAGCCAATACGTCCAAAAAGGGTAACTTACCTTCTTAGTGAATTAAATCTCCCTATCTCGTCTATTCGTCAAAGTAAGCAACCCTTCCAGACTCCGTGTCATGTGGCCATGTAGCAAAATAGTTTATCTGATCAATCGCTTAGGAACTAAGTGTGCATCTTGAATTGGCCTGACCGCTGAATGAGACATGCCGTAATTCGCAAAACTTGCAGACAAATCAGGTCCCATGGCTGACCAGCGTGTTAATTTATTCAATTGACCGTTAAAGGTAAATTAGCTACTTTTAATCAATCTCATGAATGACTCCTTGCCTATCTCATTTCTCATTGTAATCTCTGTGTGTTGATCAAATGTTAATTATAATCATTGATACAACATCAAAACATACAAACAACATCTTTCCGTTCTAGCATTTCCTTGTCCGCTAGCTTAATAAATTTATAAGAAATATTTATTGAAAACTGTCAAAAATCGTTGAGACCTATTTCATGCACCTTCTTTGTGAAATGTATGCAGACAACATGCGCTCGGAGGCCTAGCATCACATTGTCAGAGTGCATTTATTTTCTAACTTTCCAGTTACTCGTCACTAGAGCACTTTTGCAAGAGATTGCTAGGCCTTAACTTTGGTGTTTCTGTAGGGTCCTTAGTTCTACTTCTGTAGGCATCCAAATCAGCCAGAGTTTGCATTATTTTGAAGATACGACGGGAAGCTGGGTTTCGATGAATCTCCTGAGAAGAGATTCGTAGGTCGATCTCACCAGAAGAAGACGGATGAATCGCGTTGTACTGGAGCCGTTTGGCTTTAATTCGATGTTCATGTTGACTCAGTTCACAAGACTTACTTCCTCGTTTCGGGTGAAAACTGGCTGAGCTTTCGCCCATCATTCGATGGACATCATCAGAGCTGGGTATTCTTCATGTAAAATTCTCATGTTAAAACTAGGCTATGAGGATGTCCATCGAATGATGGACGAAAGCTCGGCCCATTTCCACCCGAAACGGGGGAGGAGTTCCAGTGGACTACGTCGACCTGTACGTCGTATCAACGCCAAACGACTCCCGAGGGAACTTGACGGAGATATGGATGATCTCAATCAGAGTATTTCCGCCATTTTGATGAGAAAAGTTGGGTCCTTCCTTTAGGATCTTAGTGGTTTCAGGAGATTGGAAGAAGGCAGAGTGTGTGACAACTTTTCCTATTGCTTAATCGAGATCGGAGAAAACAGCGATGCAACAAGACAAGCAAAAAGGAGATGTCTGGATCAAGGATCTATCATAAACCAGAGGAAAAGGGATCGCAAAGAAGAAGAGAGTGAGGATGTTTCGCAAATGAAGTGAAGACGTTTTCAGTGAGAGTAGTCAGCTCGAATAGGCAAGTACAACTTGGGGACCGAAGTTTCACGTGACTAATGAGAGGGATTTGGCAACAGAAATCTGTCATTGTGACGAAGTGGGCTAATAATCCACTTGAGATGCGGCAGACGACCAGAGATGGATGTCCACAGTTTGCTCAGGGTACACGGGCTTAATCGAGGATAGGATGCATGAAAGTGATGTCTAATATCCGCGGGCATGGGAAGATGTGAAGATGAGACGACTTTTACTTGGAGTAAAAGTACGCTGGGACTGGAACCGAGGGAAACCGGTCAGCCGGAAAGATAAGAAACGGACCTACGCGCCCATGAGGCAGATCCGGACAGGAGACTGGATCAGGATCAGCCACGCGAAAGGGAGGGGAGCAAGACAAACAGCAAGTGTGATGACGCCATCGTACATTCGCCAAAAGGGCACATCTCTTGAGAAGTGTAAACATGTCAGAAGTTGTGATAGGGCGAGGACGAGAGTAGAGGGTAGGAAATGGATAGAGGAACC